TKGRAAAAAAAGGAATATTGAATAGCATGTTAAGCTTCAAATTGGGGTACTGGGAGAAGTAGGGGAGGGGGGGCTCACTTTCATTTAGAAAGAGGTTAATTGGAATCTGCCACTTCAGTGTGTCCTTTAACCAGAGTTCTGATGTGCAGATGGCCAAGTACCGAGTTCCACAAAGGTCTGGAGACATTGTTATGATCCAGTCTGAGCATACAGGAGCTATTGATATTCTTTCAGCTGATTTGGAATCTGCAGATCTTCTGGGGGACCACAGGAGAGGTAAGACCTCTAGAAATACAGAAAATGTTTTTTTAAATTTCTAATAGACATGYAAAGAAAGGTAGGCAGGTGGAAGGGAAGAAAATGACTTATGAAAAGAAGTGAGAGAAGCCAATAGCAAGAATGTCTTTGTGGCAACCTCCCTAAGCAAAATGCTGGGTGTGGGAGCATTTCTCCACAGTTTTCCAATAGCATACTTCCTGTCCTTTCAGTTTCCCCACCTCTGATGGCTCCTCCATGCATCTGGACCTTTGCCAAGGTGAAGGAATTCAAAAGCAAGCTGGGCAAAGAGAAGAACAGCCGTCTGGTGGTGAAACGGGGTGAGGTGGTGACCATCCGGGTACCCACTCATCCAGAGGGGAAGCGTGTCTGCTGGGAGTTTGCAACTGATGACTATGATATTGGCTTTGGAGTTTATTTTGACTGGACCCCTGTAACCAGCACTGATATAACTGTGCAGGTCAGTGATTCCAGTGAGGAAGAGGATGAAGAAGAAGAAGAGGAGGAGGAAATTGAAGGTAAATTTAATTTTAACATAATTTGCAGTTTTCATTTCTACCTTAGCCTGACTTCTAGTGACTACTTCTTGGGTTGTAGCAGTCCTCCTTAGAATGCAGGTGTGAAGGGATCCAGCAGCACTGTGGGCACAGAATCCAGCATCACAAGCTAAAGTTAAAAGGTGCGGGCCAAAGTCAGACCCTCAGAGAACAKTCCAGTAGGGTTGGTATTGAGGCATTAGCTGAAATTTTCTTTCCTTTTAATCAGTACCTAATTGTTTCCTCAACCTTTTTTCTGGGGGTGGCTATAGGGTTGGAGCAGAGAGAGAGGAGTCACTGCTTCTGTATGTAGAAGCTGGGTTTTTCACATCACGTGGAAACCTGAAGTTATGTTGCATTTCTCTCTTATTTTAGGGCTATTTATTCTTAACATGGAGCCAAAATGAGTGAATTTGCTAAATRTACCCTTTTTTTCTTCCATGTAAACTGTCTTAGCTGTCTGACTGCTCACTTCATGGCTAGAGCAGTTTACAAGTAGTATCTGAGCTGGGTGTGGTGCTGCACACCWGTAATCCCAGCTACTCAGAAAGCTGGGAGTTCAAGGTTAGCCTGGACAACTTAGTGAGACCATGTCTCAAAATAAAAAAAATAAAAAGGGCTAGTGTGTAGCTCACTGGTAGAGTGCCCTTGGATTCAATCCCCAGTACCGTGTACAAGAAGAAGAAAAAGAAAAAAGTAGTCTCTGCTCCATTCTAGCTGTTACTTGTAGTGCTTACTCACGATGGCCCTGAGATATTTTGAGGGGGGAGGTAATCTAAGAGTAGATTCTAAGCTTTAGCTGTTTTTTGTAGTTTTTTATAGAATCTTAAAATCAGTTCCTTAGCTTGCTTCTTTGCGTCTGCAAGGAAATCTACAGGTACTTAGAGAAGAACCTTATGTCTTATTTGCTGCTTTTTAGGAAACCAAGTGGAAGTTTTGGGGTCTCTCTGTACAACATGTTTATCTGCATTTCCTACTCATGTTGGCTAGTCCTTTCACCTACTGAATGAAAGAATTTCTTGATATTCCCATCTAAATATGTCATTCTACCCCCCAGAAATACCCAGACACGTTTGGAGCTCATCAGGCTAACTCACTGTTTCTCAGTGTAGACATTATTGGCATTTGGGATGGGTCACTACTTTGTTATAGCGGTAGCCTGACTTTAGCACTCCTGCACCCTGGAGCACTAAATGCCAGTGTCACTCAGTAGTCACTGTTTTGACCAAAAAAAAAAAAAAAAAAAAATCACCAGACATTTTTCAGTTCCCTATAATAGGAAGCCAAAGGCACCTCCCCTTCTCACTGAAATCATGAGGTTACCTGGCTCATCATCTCACCATCCAGTAGGATGTGTTCATCTCTGAACTCATATCCAAATACTGCTGTTTGCTTCTGCAGAACCTGTCCCAGTGGGAGATGTGGAGAGAGGTTCCAGGAGTTCCCTACGGGGTCGMTATGGGGAAGTCATGCCTGTGTACCGGCGGGACAGCCACCGAGATGTGCAGGCTGGCAGCCATGACTACCCTGGTGAGGGTATCTACCTGCTCAAGTTTGACAACTCCTACTCTCTGCTACGCAACAAGACTCTCTACTTCCACATCTACTATACTAGCTGAAGGACTGCTGAGACAGAGGGCAGGCTGTATTTGCTGGCTGACGCAGGCTGCCAGCCGGAGCCTCTTGTTTTAGATAGACAAGAGCTGAAAGTTCCGCGGGAGGCTCCTGAGCCTCACGTCCTGCCTGGCATGCCTGACTGTTGACCCCGTGTAGCTTTTTCCCCTTCTTGGCTTCTGCAGGTGGTGGTRTAGTCCCCTGTTCTGTGGTCCCTGACTCATGCTCTTGTTGCTTCAGATGCCAGCAAATCCCTCTTTGAAGGCACCTATCAGGAAAAGCCTCAAAGGAAGTAGGATGATGTCTTTTACAAATAGATTGGTGTTGGTACAAGGTTTATCAGTCAGGTTGCTGCTTGCTCCTCTTGAGAGCCTATATGCCAATGTGTTCAGTGGCACCCACCCATTTTACTTTTTAAGGTGCCAGAAGAGGGAAAAGCACATTGCCCATGAAGGAGCCCAGTGTCTTGGACAGAGAAAGCTCTGTCCATCCTCTCACCACTGCCATATTCCTGCCTGCTGGGTATTCTTGTTCTCTAGCACAGGCTGCGAGACCTCACTGCCTTGGAGGGGTACTATTATTCCTGATGGCTAGACCCCTCCTTTTTTCTCTTTCCTAAGTCTGTGTTTTTGCCATACAGCAAGAACTTTCATGCAATCTAAAGTGATGATCAGTGTAACCTAAGATCTTCTGGGAGGAAAAAATGGGCTCTATCACTTTCTGTTCCAAGAGCTACTTTCCCTTACCAAGGCCACTGGCAGTTGATGGAGAAAGGGTGGAAATTAGATACTGAATTGATCTTGGAATCCACCCTTGAAATTCTAGTGTTACTCAATTTTTAAAAAATTTAATCCAAGAAAGAGGGATATCATCAGAGAGAGGTTTAAAAAAGAAAAAAAAAAAAAACACTCCAGATTCCCCCACCACATTTTTTGTTTGTTTGTTTGGTTTGGAATTAAATGCAGTGAAACCCAATCAGATTTTCAAAGTTTCTGGATTTAGGGTTTTTTGTATTGAGGGCTAAAAGCTTTTGGTGTTCRAAGTCCCTTAGGAAAGGGACTGTTGCTGATTGTACATGTTCTTTACCTGACCAAAGCTTGCACCTGGTGACAGCCTTCCTCACTCTGTTCACCCCGAGGCCTACGAATGCCAGAGTGCTGTGGTGCTGCAGCGGGCAGCCTCCGGGTGCCAGGGCCTCTGGGGAAGAAGGAGAACAGGGTGAGGCCAGGACTCCAGCAGTCATCTGTTCCTCTTTGTTTCTTGTTCCTGTGTGAAGTCTGTTACTCCCGTTGAATTTTGAATAATTAGATTTATTTATTTATTTATTTTTTAAGCACATTTCATTTTTGCCTTTGAAACAGTTTCTTCTGTTTCTCAGAAGGCTTTCCCATCTGTTCTGAGCCACTGAGGCCACCTCTTCWATAGAGTTAAAAATGATTGTAGGAGAATTTGGGAGGTGACTATGTTCATTCCTACAGGTCAGTCCTGTGATGCTCTGGGAGGCGTCTGCCCCTTCAGAGATGGATGACTGCAGCCTGCCCCACGTGTAGGTGCAGTCCAGCACTCCTGTGAGGAGTTCTAAATGGCGAGGGAGCCTACTTGTTCTCTGGGAATTGAGTGCAGAGGAATTGACTAGCCAATCAGTGACTAGCCAATCACTGTGATTCCAGGATTTCAAAGTCCTTTGCCTCCTCTGACACCTTTTCATGATGTTTTCTTTGGCTCATTCCTTTGTTGTGTGGGTTCCTCACCCCAAGCCTATCCTCCTACAGGAGTGGTCACTTGAACAGCAAGACTCCTCCCAGTAGGTCTGTAATAGTGTCTRTGTCAGGAACAAAGGACCATGAGTCCTAAGCCTCTGTTCTCCTGGGAGCAAAGCCRAAAGTAGGATAGGGTGTTGTGGATTGCCATGGCATTCCGTTCTCTTGAGTGGCATCATACCTCCATTATTGTATCACTRCAAATGTGTTTTGTAGAGGATCACACTGGCCAACATTTATATATCTTGTAAGAAATTATTTTAGTGACTGTTTGGGCAGTGGAGAGCAAATATGTCATGGGTCATTCGTTACATAGCTTTGTGGCCACTCTTTCATCATGAAGTTGAATCATGCCTTAGCTAATCAAATATGGTCTTTGTAAAATAATTTTCTACTGAGCTGTTTTTCAGTCGTTGAAAGCCTTGCTTATTTTTTCCTGTTTATTATCAACCTATGACTTTATCTCAAATATGGAGCYATCAGGTCACAGGTAGCAAGCTCCCAGGGATAACATGCACCATTTATTTTTTTATTTTTGTCACAAGAGTCTCTTTGCTTATTTTCTTTGGAATCCTGGTTCTGTTGTATCAGGGAACCCTGAGGGACTTGTTTTCATCACCTCTATGTGCCTGCTATTGTCTGGTCATTTTGAAGTCCTGGGCATTCCTTACTGTTTTTTCCTCCATAGTGTTTCTTGGTTTCATTAGCACAAATAGCTAAAAGAAGATAATCTCACAGTCTAATGCATTTACTATTCTCATATTAAATTTTTGGAATAATTGAACTTTAGAGACAAAAGTTATTTACTAAAGCACAGGTAAAATTACTTGAGAACCCACAGCCCAGCGAATTCTAAAAGGTGGCCACTTCCTCAGGCTGTCCTTATCCATGTTTATCAAACAGTGAAATGAAGATCCCTGGCTGTCACTCTCACTCTATTCYCCGGAGCTCAAGTAAATATTAACAAACAGTTTGGAAGAAAGTCTGTAGGGCAGATCTTGGAATTCTCCACACAGAATAGTTGAGTTCTAAAATTTTTTCAGTCCGTTTCATTTTCCTACTTTGTTGATAGATGGGGCATTTGGAAAGGAAGTTCTATTTAAAGTTGATTTTCYAACATTTTACTATGAAAAACTTCAGTAAACAAAAAATAAATATAAACACACAYACATGCCATGTAGATCTTAAAATMATAAAGTGCTAATTTTAAAGAAAGATGATTCTAACTTTTTGTGCTTTTGACAAGTATCCAGTTAGAGAATGTTCCCTGCATAGAGAGCACCAGCTCTCCTGTGTCAGGGTGCCCCTGGTTTTTAGCAGACCTGTTTCATTCAACCTGAATTACCTGAGACGTGGCCTTCACRATAATGGTTCTTTTTCTTTTTCATCTTTCAAAATTCATGCTGTCTTTCTGCCTTCCCTCAGGCTTTGATTTCTGCCACCATTCCCTCTAACTGGCATTTCAGTGTGAGGGTAATTGGGAGGCTGCTCTGGAAAGACTTGATTCTAATCTCTATTGCTTTATGATACACCCTCAGGACTCTGAAATTCAAACTCAATCCTCCTTTATCACTAAAGTAGGTAGCAACTTGAAATTAGACTATGCTTAATTTTTAATTAATTGATTTGTATGCTTTTTAAAATATTTTAATCTATTTAGGAAAACAAAATGAACTTTTAAAAAAAGTATTATTTCATTTTAGTAGGGATATAGAAGAGTTAAATTCATAAGCKTGCTGCCTTTTATTAATCAATGGGATTATATATTGTGAAATTCATAGTATACAAATTTTGTATTTTGATAAGCCCCACCTAATTTTCTCCCTCTTTGAGAGAATTAGGTGAAACCCAAGCCCTAAAGTCTGTGTTTTTATATTTTATTTTTAAAGACCACTTTTCTGCAAAAAAGTTGCCTTTAGCCTCAGTCTGTGGTTGTAAGGTATGGAGCTGAGGGACTCTGTATTTACATGMAAGACTAGTTCTAGCAGAGGGTGGCAGGGGTGCAAGGTAAACAGTTTCKTGTGGCTTGAGAACTGCCTTTTAAATTGATCAAAAGGAGTGCTATCAGGATAAAACAGGAGGGAGAGCAGAGCTATGRAATATATCCTGGGATTCATTGAATGTTTGAGTTGCATTTCATTCACTGGAATTATTCTCTAAGCCAGGAGCTTTCCTGGTTTTCTTGTGCTTTCTGGGGGATTCCCAAGCCCAATTTGCTGACTTTTCCAACAGGACCACCTAGTAGGTCTCCTCTGCTAAGTGTAATCCTGACGTGAGGATTCATTTCATCTCTCTGTTCTTTGGGATTTAAAAGCATTTAGTGCCATGGAAAAATGGTAGAATTAGAGAGAGGCTGAGAGGAGTCAGTTCCAGATGTGGTCTGAATATGGCCAAGAAGGGGATGGTCATTTGACCAACATCACAGATGAGCCTAGAACTACAGGAGGGGGTTTGGGTAACACATAGACCCCCACAGGCCGACCGAAGGGGCATGGTTAGCCTGTGTTGGATGGGCAGACACAGGGTACCTAGTACAGCAGGCTACTCTCATTCTTCCCCCATTAAACTTTCTACTTAATAGTTTTTTCCTGGGGCTAAAAGATCCACAGCAACCTCTTTAAGTTTCTTTCCACATTGCCCAAAGTGAAGAATGCCTAGAAACCAAAATTTGTCTCAATAAAGAAGCCTACCACCCCTGCAGAGTCAAGGTGGTTGAAGATAGAAAGCSAACCTGTCTGGTGGAAGGAAGGAAGGTAACTCCGTTGCTGTTTTAGGAGGTAGGCTTGTGAAGACTGTTTGACAGAGGGCAAGTCCTTGTATTCATTGTGATTGTGCTCAGGGAGGAAGTAGGGAATGAGTATTGAAAATCAGTCATGAGATACCAGGTGCGGTGGCACACGTCTGTAATCCCAGGAGGATTGCAAATTTGAAACTAACTTCAATAATTTAGTGAGACCCTGATTCAAAATAAAACATAAAAAAGAAGTGCTGGGGATRTGGCTCAGTGRTTAAGTGACCCCGGGTTTGATCCCTGGTATAAAAGAAAATCACTCACACCTGGGTGTTTGCTTTCCACTGATCCAGTGCTCTGCCTCTGGTGACCTCTATGGGAATGGGARGAGACAGGCGAGTACTGCTTTGGCTGTGTGTGTCAGGTGACGGTCAGTGGCTGTCTTTTGCTCTGTCTAATCCATCTAGCACTTCTGGGCATTCCCAAGTACATCCCATTATTTAGGTGGTGAGGTTAGGGCAGAATTTGTGACCCAAAGAGAAACTTTGTTAAGCAGGTTTCAGAATCACTGTTCCCTCTGAAGTGTCTCATTGTTCCTGCTTGAACCAAGAAGGTTACATAGAACCTCTCCTATTTGAATCCCTTATCTCCAAGCTAAGGAAATACAATGAATAGTCTACAGACTGCAATAGTATAGATGGTATGGCTCATTTATAAATTGTCATTCCTCACAAACCAAGTCCAAGGGCAAGACACTGGCTGTGACGTTRTCTGTAGTCCTGGCCACTGGTTTGAACTCATCATCTGATTTCTGTTTTATGTACCTTGAATTCTTCTAAGCCCAAGGCATTTGTGCCACAGATACCGTCATGGCTTTTTTTCATCCTAAGATATGATGAAAAGGTGCCCTAGAATTCTAGACACATAGGCTACTAGATGAAATTTCAGTTTTTTGTATCATTTTAAGAAGATAGTTTTGGCTTATTTGAGGATGAAAAATTAGGTGAAATGACTTTCAGGGACAAAGCATATTTTCTAAAGTTCTGATACAGGTTMATGAAGAATTCTGAAGTTTGGGTTGAAATATCATAGTACATAGTATTGCCAAAGAGCCCACAGTTCACTGTCAACTTAAGGGGCTCTTCCTGAACTCTCCTCATCACTCAGGGTTGAAATGCCTCGTCCGTAATGCTCCTTGTTATTGATTGTCATTGTTGATTCTTAGGTTCAGGCCAGGAATCATCTGGAAATCATTATCTTAATTCCTTCTCTCATGTCCTGAATAGTACATTTTACTAAGAAATTCTCTGTTAAAAATACTATTGTGTTCCTTTTTGAAATTATTGTCCCATCATAAGTGAATTAGCTTTTATTTAA